CCCCCCAAAAAAAAGCACTACCATAGAGTTGATTCAGATTTATAGTGACCCTATAGGACAGAGTAGACCTGTCTTGGTGGGTCTCTGAAACCGTAAATCTTTACAGAAATGGAGCCTCATCTTTCTCCCTCGGAGTGGCTGGTGGTTGCCCCCTGGTGCTGCCCAGGGCGCCAGGACCAGGGCCTCTGACCACTGTGGAGTGTGTGGTGGGAGCTGCACGGATGGCAGCTGGTTAATGACGGAGCCACTCCTGCACAGCAGCCCAATCAGGTCAGCCTCCAAGCACACGGGGCCCTGAGCTCAGTGATGCCTTCTGGGGAAAGCAAACTGCCTAGTTGAGCTACCAGAAAACTTAAATTCAACTGGATGGGGAACCAAATTTTATCAAAAGAAAAGATTTTAAAAGGTTTCCTTTGCATTTTAAGAATCTTCTCTATTTTCTAAAACCTCTTTTATCACTGTGAAATAGAATTCCCATAGGGAAGGGGAAGGTGCTTCAAAAGGTTCATGGCAAAATTCCACCACCCCCTTTGAACCCCTGGTACCGAAAAGTGGGCCAAACAGACACGCACAGCTGGATGGCTACTACAAAGCAAGCATCCGTGGATACTCTCCAAGGACAGGAACCAAAAGATTGTCGCCGCCCCTACGGGACCCTCGCCACAAACCTCCTCTTCTCTGAAAAGGGAGGTACCCCCCCAAAAAAAAACTGCACCTGTTTTTAAAGTTTGGCCTTAATGGCCTCCAAGACTTTTCATCTTTGGCCTCCCCTCCCTCTTCTTCCTGTGACCTCTCCCCCAGAAAAAATGAAACTCAGCTGTCATTGGGTCTTCTGACTCATAGTGACCCCATAGGACAACAGTGGCCCTATAGAACAATAGTGACCCCGTAGGACAACAGTGACCTTGTAGGACAACAGTGACCCTATAGGACAGAGTAAAGCTGCCCCCGGTGGGTTTCCAAGACCATAACTCTTTATGAATGTAGGAAGCCTCACCTTTCTCCTGTGGAGCAGCTGATGGTTTCGAACCATTGACTTTGTGGCTAGCAGGCCAATGGGTAACCTACTAGGCCACCAGGGCTCCCCTTCCCAGAAAGAAGTTTGTAATTCCCTATATTATATATGCTTACCAAAATCATGCCCAGTTTAATTTTAAGACAACCTTTTAAAAGATTTGAAGGAGAAATTAAAATAAAAACAGCCCCCCAATGGTTATCTCAGGCAGTGAAATTATTAGCATATTGTTTTTCACAACACCAGCTGTGCGGGACTTTGCTTTCAGCAGGAGTGACAAGATACAGAGTTGTCTCCCCTTTTCTATAAGGGGCTCACAGCTGACACAGCTACTTGTAAATTCAACAAAAATAGCAGGGCCGACCTTTTTTCCAATAAGGTTTTATTCCCATCAAAGACTGTAATATGAAACCCAAAATTTCGACTACGGATGTCTTCACATTTCGAAAATGCATTTTCTGACATGTAACACAGGATGGACACACGACATGTAACACAGGATGGACACGCGACATGTAACACAGGATGGACACGCGACATGTACCACAGGATGGACACGCGGTTTGGAATGGGAACTGGAGGGTGTCGTCCTCATGAAGACATCG